CCATGCTCCAGGCCGCCTATAGTGCCCATGGTGTCCCCAACAGTGGCTCCGCTCCACACGAGTGGTACCTCGACAGCGGCGCCTCCTCCCACGTCATCGGCAACCCTAGTAACCTCGACCTCTCGAATCCTTCTTTAAAGTCTCATTTCACTAGCATTGTTGTTGGAAATGGTACTCATCTCCCCATCCAAGCCACCGGCTGGATCACCCTCCCACCTCACAGTTTTCATCTTCGGGACATTCTCTTCTCTCCCCACGTCGTAACTAGTCTCATTTCAGTTCGCCAATTCACCAAAGATAACTTGTGCTCTATTGAATTTTTTCCCTATGGCTTTGTTGTGAAGGATCTTCGAACCAGGAGGGTCATCATGATCTCCGCTAGCTCCGGTGATCTCTACCCATTCTCCGGCAATAACAAGCCGTGGCGCCCTGCCCCCTTGGCTTCCTAAAAGATGATACCATTGAAATCATCTTAACTGTGCCAGAAAATGAATATAACAAAATTTAACATTTTAATTTGTTTACGCACTTTAACAATAGTTGAAGTTTGCAACTCTATGTTAAAAAATATATAAATTTAATGTAAATAATTCAAAATAGACGCGCTGAAAACATATAATAATAAATACCCGTATCAAAGTGTGGGATTTATAATAGTTACTACTATTTGGACCCATATATCTTTCTTGCCAAAGTTTCAACTCAAGGGGGGTAGTATTGACTATCTGGGCTTAGGACATCCCGACACAAAAGGCCATAGTGGGCCGAGGTGCCACTTAAAACCGAGCCGAAAAGCCCAAAGTGAGTTATTATCATTATTTTCCTAAATTGAGCATAGCTTCATTATTTTATTTGAAAAGAAGTACTTCCTTCATTCCTAAATATTTGTCTTTCTAGAGATTTCAACAAGTGATTACATGCGAAGGAAAATGAGTGAATCTACACTCTAAAATATGTCTATATACATCCATATGTGGTTGTCCATTTGAAATCTCTAAAAAGACAAATATTTAGAAACAGAGGGAGTATTATTTTCTCGCCTCTGGCTTGCCCAGGGTGGAGCCTTGAATTTTCAGGTTGGATTTTGCAATGCCCAGCCTGCGGTTTGTGCCACAATTTTTCATACGGTCGTATAGGCTCACGAGCTGCATTCGTGTGTTGTTCAACATTCTTGTTGGTGCATTTATACCGTCGTAATATTTGGGTCTTCATCATACTTCTGTAGGTGAACCATGCTTAGCAGGACCTACTGCACTTATATTTCAGTCATCAGGATTTCACAAAAATAAAATCACAAGAAAACCAAAAACAGACCAGAAAAGAATAGAAAAGAACAAAAGAATTAAAAAACAAGGGCATAGCCATCGCCGGATCAACAGAGCCCCCCCGTCGTGACAGAGCTCAATACGTCGGCGTGGAAGCGCTGTTCTTAGACCACCTGGTCCACAACATGAACTCGAGCCCGATGACGGTGATGAGGAGGATGGCGAGGTTGAAACCGTAGCCGATCTTCCACGAGTCGTGGCCGCCGCCGACGTGGATCCCGAGCACGATGTTGACGGCGGCGAAGAAGAGCACCAGCCTGCCCGACCAGTGGTGGTACCAGTTCCAGTACTTGCGGTACTTGGAGTCCGTGTTGGGCCTTAGGAAGAATGCCAGAACCTGTCAACAGTTTTTTGCACAACATTCAGAATCTACCATTCGAGACATACACCTGAGCATGAAAGCATAGCAGTGAGTGACTGGTCTACCTGCAGGATGCCGAGGAAAAGGATGAAGATGCCGAGGCCGCGGTGCGCCGGGATGTCGGCCTGGATCTTGCTGTACAGCGCCACGCCGGCGACGACCCCGGCGAGGCCGATGATGAAGGCGGCGAACTGGATGCCGACGTGGAGGTAGAACCAGAGCGGGTCCATGCGCCGGAAGTAGCGCGCCAGGATGGCGCCGATGGGCATGAGGATGCCCCAGGCGAAGAGGTTGAGCCCTCCGTGCGCCCGCCGAAGGCCGTAGGGGAAGGGCCCGTCGGCGAATCCTTTCCCTGCATGCACATCGGCCAACACGTACGCTGTAAGATCTTCTGAATCTTCTGAATAGAGTAATGATAATGTTGAAAAAAGGCATTCTGTCGTACGGCATGATGTTGATCTGGCAACTATGCTATGTAAAGGTGGTGCAACCGACGATGCTTAAAGAAACAACAAACTTTTCCTCAAAAAATTGAAAACTTTTCCTGGTAACCGACACATGATCAACTTTATCGAGCTTGCAACTAAGAAATTGCATATAAACAGTTCGTATCTTAGTTACCAGTTGTGAAGTCGAAGGTGAAGGAGGTCTTGTCCTGGTGCTTGGAGAGCTTGTTCTTGACGGGGACGCCGGGGCCGAAGGCGAGGATGATGTGCTGGTGGGAGAGGCGGTAGGAGAACTTGAGCTGAAACGCGACGTAGATCTTGGCCTGCTGCACGACGACGGTGTGGTCGTGGTTGTTGGAGACGAGGAAGCCGCGGTCGACGACGGCGGCCTTGGAGCCGGACTTGGAGCGGAGGGAGAACTGGCGGATGTGGGGGAGGCCCTTCTTGCCCATCCACCCCACCATGGCGCTGGAGCCGATCATGAGGCCGTCCCGCGAGAAGCCCATCCCCACCCACCCCGTGCTGTACATGGTCGACAGCACCACCCGCAGCACGTTGTTCTTGTCCTGGTGGTACTGCAAATCGCATGCAAATCAAATTGATTGTTACTATTGCGGTGGTGAGCTGATAGCTACTACTAGATCATCTGAGTTGTGAGAAGTGCACATGGCACTCGAGGTATCAGGACAGACAGACGCTTATTACCCCATTACAGCTTGGTCCCCTGCTTTTCACCGTACCAAATTGCTCTGATCTGACACTACCATGCCAACTCTAGCCCATTGAATTGAATCATTGAGAAAATGAGTAATGATTCATGGATATCTGCAGCTTTACCAGTACTGCTATTGTTTCCTCGCATGAACTTTCTTATCACTAGTTCTGTGCCACAGGTAAGCTAGCCATAACTTGAACAGGGTCTCAAGAAGCCTACATTCTACAGCTAGATCTCAACCATCTACCATCAGGAGCAGAACAATGGCGACATACCCGGAGCACGAAGTTGTTCCAGACGGGCTGGCAGGCGAGGCCAGAGTAGTTGCCGACGAGCGCGAACGGCAGGTCGCCGCTGCAGCTGTCCATCTGCGCCGTCGCCGCCGGCGCCAGCACAGACACCAGCACGGCGGCCAGCGCCGCCGCGGCGACCACCACACGCACCATGCTGATCTCACTAGCTCTCTCCTCCGTCGGTGGCAGAATGACAGTGGTGGCCGCACAGCAATGCCAGGGACACAACGACGGCGCAAGAACGTGTTAGCTGCGCGGCTGCGGTGCGGGAGGAGAGGAGTTTAGGAGGCGGGGAGGGGGGTTGGGAGGTTGCAGTCGGTTGGTAGTGCCGATCTTTTTAATCTCTGCTGTTGAGGTTGTTGCCGGTGGCGCGTCAGTGCACCACACAGTGTCACTGCTGCTGGGGGCGCCCTATGATTGATCGGGGTGTCGGGGAAGCGTGGTTGGTGGCGGCGCCGGTTTGGGAGTCCCTCTCGCCCGATCGGCGCGCGCGCGTGTGTGTGTGGTGTCCTCGCCGCTCAGATCTGGATGGAGGTTCGGGGGCCGGACGGGGAGGGTGGTGGAGTGCGAAGGTGGCAACAGGCGCGCGGTGTGCGCTCGTGTCGCCGTACCACGGTGATGCGAGAGCGGTGTGCCGGCGGAGCTTTCTGGGAGCGGTGGTGGGCAGCGGAGCGCGTCTGGCTTTGACCTTTGCCGTGTGGATGATGCTCGTATGAGTGTCGGTCAAGCTCGGACGGTCCTGTGACGAAGACGGCACTGGCCGATGCGGATGTAGGAGTACGGCGGGATATACTGTGGCGCGGTTGTTGCCGAAGAAACCTAGCCGAATAACATGAAACGGGTGTGGCAAGGTGGACTGACTAACATGCAAGAGAGAAACAAAAAACTATTTTATTTATTTATTATAATTTTTGCATAGATTTTAAAGTCAAATCTCACGGATATAGTATCGATTGAGACTTAATGAAGTCTCAATCGACTAAAACTTAGCAAGACTGTAACATGAAATCCTTCTATGGAAGGTGTATGTTTAATGTACACTGTTTTTATTCAAGACTGTCTCCAAGAATTATGGGCCTAATGCGTGCATAATGAGGCTCTAAAATTTCTAGAATGGAAGTTTGTTAGAGGTTTGTACAAGGTGGGTTATAATTGGATTTGAAGTCGTACAGTGTGTAGACAGGATAGGAAGCCGTGTCCAAGTAGGACACTAGTATCATATGCATCTTATGTAATAAGAGGGTAGACACACTATGTAACCTACGCCAACATAATGACATAAGCACGCGGGGGAGCCGGAGGTATGTGCCAGCGCCCGCGCGGCCGCTGTGCGGTATTGTAGCGGCGTCATGGGGAGAAGAGCCTCAGGCCCCGGGGGTGTAGCCATGATGGTGAACCTCGTTAACAAATATCTATGTCATGCTTGTGTGATTGATTGGTCCTTGATAGATCAACTATGTGCCCCGGATTATTCTACCAAGTGGTATCATGAGTAAGGTTTAATTTGAGGTTGCGGCTATTGATCTAGAGGTGAAGCAGAATTCGTTGAATTGATCGGTGGTCGAGTAGTGCGACCAGGAAAGATCAATGGAATGGTGGGAGTTCTGCTCGTGTCAAAAGTAATCGGAAGAAGCAGGCGGCGGCTTCGTGAGGCACTCGGCGAGATTGGATCGTGTTGCACCAAGTAACGCGTGCAGCCGAAGGCCAGTGGCGGAAGATCGCGCGTACGGCGGCAAATGCATACGGATGGATCGGTCCACCGATCGAAAACAAAAGGCGGCTGATGTACTCAGATGCGACGGCACAAGACACGGGCCTCGTGTTGAACCCTATTTGACGCGCGCGTGCGTCGAGAAGAGGCGGCTTTGCTGAAGCACGGGTGCAGCTGCGCGCAACGGGCCGGCCCACTTCGCGAGTTAAACCTTCTAGAAGGTTCCCTAAACTGGGTTTTTTTGCCGATTTTCTGATTTTTTTTCTTGTTTCTTTATCCATTTTCTGTTTTTATTTCTTTTTATTTTTCCTTCTATTTTTATTTTATCCTTTTTCGTTCTTATTTTCATCATCTTTTTTGAAAAAAAGTTTGAAATTCCGTATTTTTCTCCATGATTTCAGAAAACGTTCACTGTTTTTAAATTTTGTTCACAATTCAGAATTTGTTCAGCATACATTACAGAAATGTTAAATGTATATTTTAAATTAGTTCAGCATGTATCACAAGAATGTTTAGTATGTATCTAGAATTGTTCAATTTTTATACTTTAAAAATTGTTCATCTTTTTGAAATTTCGAAATTTGTGTTCAACTTTTCAATAATTGTTCACGTTTGAAAAGTTTGTTCGATTTTCAAAATAAATTGATGGCTTTAAAAAGGGTTTCACGTTTGTTAAATTTTGTTCAGAATGTTCTATTTTTCTGTTCTTGATTTTGTTGAATTGTTCGAAAAAAATAAAAAGTTGTTCGGTCCTTTAAGCTCTCAGGCTACTTGCAAACAAGTGGAAGTTATCAGCCCGATGGTTAGGCTCTAGTCTTCCCGATATTGCTAGCGTCTGGAGGAGTTATTGCTAGTGTTGGTTGGTGCTATTCATCGTGAGCAAGGAGAGGGAGAGGCAAAGTCAAGCATACATTGGAGACGTGGTGGGGTTTTGGATCTGTGTGGCCTCGTGCATATGGAAAGGCTGCTAGATGGATCTCCATACTGGCTCTCTTCGTTTGGTACACGTACAGATTATGTACGGGATGCCAGCGGTTGTATGCTGCAATTTGATAAATACGTGGAGTCGCAGGTTCAGATGGAGATCGGCTGGTTCGATCAGCTACGTGTAATCAAGTGTTGCATCAGGACGCGGATGGTATTTTGACATCATGTGACCATGAAGTTGGGGTACTGCCAGTGCCGGCAAAACAGAGAACTTTGATGGCATTTGTGGGTGAATAATCTGCTGAAGCAACGAGATGCTTGATGGTGTAGCGGGATGCCAAGTCCATAAAGATGGATGATCTGCGGCGGATGGCGGCGTGCGTATAAGGCTTGGAGGAGTCCGGAGCGCGTCGTGGTAGGGATCATGCATACACAGGGTGTTAAGCAATGCACGAAGATGCGAGACGTGATACTCGGCATCGGTCGGTGATGATCGGTGGTTCTCTGCATTAGGGTTTGAGTGATGTGGGTCCGCGGCCATAGAGATTCGACCAGGACAGCAGAGGCTCGGTGCGGTGATAGCGGCGAGGTGTGTGGTAAGCACGGGACACAGTGATAGACCAAGACACTGGTGATCAGACATGTGGTCAGACAAAGTGTGCAGCGATGCTAAAGCAGTGTTGACGAGTACCAGATTCCAGTTGGTGACTGGGTTTATCGGTGCTAGTTGATGGACACGAGTTGACCATGTAGAACCTGCGAAAGTGAAGGAAAGTCTTAATGACAGAAGCTGAGAGTACATGGTCGTATATTCTATGATGTTCAGTGCACATGGAAAAATGTTGATGACAAGTACAAAAGAAGGTGGAGTGCTATAGCAGTGGGACATGTCAAAGACTATCCGGGGGAAAAAGGACGAGACAACTATGAATTTGACTCAGGCTGACACATGGCGGCAGTGAAATCCCTTCAAATTTCCGGCAGACGGTCAAGAAAGGGCAGCTGTTGAGTTCAGATAACTCTTATATGTGGCGTCCAATATGTGAGTTGTTCACTTTCACGCAAGTCAATAATCGATGTGTGATGGCATTGAGCGGATATTTCGAAAGTTGGGAGCACAAAGTAGAATAAATATGAAATTAATTTTGTTCGAGTGTTGACTGTGAAGAAGACGAGAAGGGACTACAGTTACAGATGGGGTCATGTGGAGTCGGGTAGTAGCAGCGGTGCTCATGGCATATCGCAAGTCCAATGTACATGGAGGTTTGATGCATGGATGAATCCAAGATGGTGGAGAATATTCGCCGAGGTGCAATTTGTTAGAGTTGTGTCGAATATTATTTATACAAGGTAGGTTACAGTTGGACTTGGAGTCGTACGATGTGTAGACAGGATATTCACCTGCTCAAGCAAATGGAGTTATGAAATGATCATCGTCAAAGAAAATATGAACAAAGTGCAAACATAATCATTTGCAGACAGTTCAGAAAGAAAATCCTTCAAATAGTTCTGTTAGTTTTTGGGCTGCAGTTGGACTCTACACCACCTTCTCGATTGCCTATAGCTTTCTTTGGCGAGTTTTTTTATGGCATGAGACTCTCTTCGTGATGGATTATTTTTTCCAACTACCTGCAATTGCGCAAAGACCAACTACACTCATAATGTAAGCAAGCTATGTGCAGCACTTATAGTAGATGCTCCTTCAATAAATCGCTCTGAAAGGGTGATCGAGAAGGTGAATTGATTGCATATTTTATTCTTTCATGCTCTAGTCGAGTTAAAAGAAAACCCGAATGCATTTCCCAAGGCAAATGACCTGAAACATTCGGACTGAAAACCCCATCCAGAATCACATGACCAGAAGGAAACACAGTGAACCGATCAGGCGATCGAGGCTCTAGGAAAGACTGTGACCAGCGAGCACGTGAAGCATATACACCAAAAACGATCCATCGCGAGTAGATCCTCATGTCATCAAAAGCAAATCCCCAAAGAAAGCTATTGGAAATTATCATTTTCAAGACAAATTGAAACACGATATGAACATAGTCATTTGCAAATAGTTGAAGAAAAAAATTCTTCAAACAGTTCGCTTAACTTTCGGGCTGCAGTTGGTCCCTACGCCAATTGCTGCAGCGGGTCATCTAGTCTCTATAAATGCACCTAACCGCGGAAGCACAAATTTGAGCAGTCTTTGAGATTAGGGGTATATGTGAGTAGTGGATTCCAGTTAGGGACTAAAATGTAATGGGTCCAAAAATCATTGTCGACATAACAAGCAACATAGAAAGTTCATAAGAATCATACAAGTAGCATAAAGGAACTTCACAAGTCGATTGCTGACACAACCTCTCAGCATAGAAGATCATCTCCGTGGACGCGTGCTCAAGGGTTGTTTGGGATGAGGAGGGGTATGCTTCGTCATAGCCTCTATACTTACAGGGGCACGTACAATTATTTTTGTTAGTATTGTAGGCAAAGAATTTCATCGGATAATGGTGTTGCTCTAGTATTCATGATTTTGGCTCATATCTTGGAAAGGAACTAACATTAGGCCTGATATACTAACCTTGCACATGACAACAGCAACACCACGATGACAATAAACCGGAAAAAGGTGACAATCTAGCCAGAAAGAACTTTAACATATGAATTCGTATGGAACCATAAAGATGAGCAATCATTTATCACCAAGGAAAGTAATAAACATAAACATGTCATGACTCTCGAATCACATAACTCATAATTTATTAGTCAAATTTTGGGTAAAAATTAGGCTCAACATTCCAAGGATTTGCCCGGAAGGAGAAACATAAGCCACTACTCCCGTTGTTCCTAAATATAAGTCTTTTTAGAGATTTCTATATGGACTACGTATGGATGTATATAGATTGACGAGTGTACGTTCACTTATTTTGCTCCGTATGTAGTTCATATTGAAATCTTTAAAAAGACTTATATTTTGGAACAGAAAGAGTATATCACTGATCTACCGGTACCAACTTCCCGATATGGCATCGACTACAGGGCCCTAGAACCTCGAATTGAACAGATGAGGGAACTCTTTCCTTGATGTATCTACCTGCAGTCTTCATGGCTCTATGAGCTTCCTCGAGAGCTCTCTTGCTCATTGGCCAGCATCGGCCAATTGTTCTTGTTGTCGGGAATTTGCCACTGTTACAAGTACATCTATCGTAGCCATATGTTGTGTCCAGCGTCAGGCGCTCGAGTGAATGTATTCTGTCGAGGATGTGAACTGTGAGCTCAACCAGGCTCTTGGCTGAACAGAATCCCGTGATCATCACCTTCCTAAGGTTGTTATGCCGGCACTCTGGATTTTGTCGTCGGTATTCATCATCATCTCCAACACCAGGAACCTGCTCTAGCTGAAGATGCATATCTAGGATCAGTTACCATTCTTCTGATAACCAAGTGTAATACATTAATAGCATAGATAGCTATGAGAAATGTAGATTGTGACTTACACGTAGAATGAAAGATTCCAAGGCAGGAGAAGCATCAAGAAAAGAAACCAGAGTGAAGACATCATAGTTTGGGGAGAAGTAGTGCCTGAGTATAATTTCCAAGTTCTTGAGGTGGGGGAGCTTGGATGACAGCATGGGAGTGTTGGCATCCTGGAAAATGAATCATAAGATTAATCATGTTTTATTGCAACAATACAAGTCTTACATATATATACGTACTTGAACGGTCCTTATAATTTGATCGTTGAGACTTTAAAACCAACACATACCTCACTACAACCGTACAGGGTGAGGCTCTCAACATTTTGTGCGATGGAGGGAAGGCTAAAGCGAGCATGAGAGAGAATACCAGATAGGCCAACAGCCGAAATGTAAACATTCTTAAGTTGCGAAGAATTTCTGACATAGATAACTGGGGTCCCGCCATAGTGAAAAAAGCAGAGTTGTGGAGCATCTATCTGTACCACCCGCACCATCTTACAATATTTACTGAGGAACTTGAGCTGTTGCAGCGTATAGGGTATTTTCAAGCAAGTTATCCCACTGCAATAAAAGAGCTCAAACCGCTCGAGGGCGGATGATTTCAAGAGCAAGTGCCCTAATGCTTCCTCGGCAATATGGACAAAAGACAGACGCAAACTTTTCAATCTTCTCAAGCAACCAAGTGTTGATGTGGGATGAAATGCGCAAGCCAAGAGGCTAAGAGACTGAATTGAAGTTGCAGCTGCCTCATCAGATAATACCGAACAAGGAAAGTTGTAGCTTTTTTTCATGACTGAAGGCATCACCAAGCAAAGTTCTTGGATCCCAGGCCTCATGGCGATTCGGAGCCACCTGTCCAGGTAGGAGGCCTTTATATTACTGCAATTGATAAGTTCAAGTTTAAGTGTCTTCACCGTCACCCCATTGGCATAATGGTTTCTAAGAATTTTGTCAATTTTGAGAACAAAATCGGTTGTTCTTTCCTCAAAATTTTCGTGATCAAAACAAAGGGCATTGTCAATGAGTATGAGGTTGGAATAGTGTCTCCAGCAGTGCAGCAATCCACGGGACACGCAGGCAGCACGGGCAGCGTCTTCTATTGGCAGGAGAGAATGTATACGATGCAAGATGTCCTGCAGAACCAATTTTGAAAAGTTCAACAATTAGATTGTAGCCAGTATCAGACTGCAATAAATAACACCGCCGGCCGCGGATTCATTGCCGAAACTCCTATATGATGCCCATGTGCATCATAATCCTGTGCTAGCAGTTGCGATAAAAAGTTACTTGTAACTAGGATACTTGGTCGCCGGCTACACTACACACATACCTCTGGGAGTTCCTCAAAACCAAGTTGGCGTGCCATATTTTCGGCACCTTGACCTTGTTGGCAGGTTGCAGCATCTGTTTCAGCTGATGGAACCTTTGACCCACTACCAGCTGCAACACCGTGGAGTATGTAAGTATGTCTCAATCTTGCTCATGCAACTCAAATTTTGCAAGAGAGAATTATGAATGGTCACGAAACAGAGATGCTTGAACAAGGAAAGGTAAAAACATGATGCACATAAGCTGAAATAGACAGTAACTCAAATAATCTGAAATTTGCCGACATTGTTTATCTAGGATTTTGTTTACAAGAATAACACATTAGAGGAGTTTGCAGTATGTAGGATTTCCAGGCTGAACCGACGACTGGGGCGCAGTGAGATAGAGAGCATACGTATTTTTGCAGGAGTATGGAGTTTCCGCTGCCGACGACGGTGCCGATGCCGATGCCGACGCCGTGCCCTATGCAATGCATCGTGGATCGCGGCGAATCGGGAAAGGAATCGTAGAGAGCCTGTGTGCCCACGAGCGGGGGACATGGGGAGTCGACGATCTCGCGGTGCGAGCCTGCGACGGGAATTCACCGTCGTCCGCCGGTCAGAAGCCTTGTCCAACTCAAATCCCACTCCGGGTCAGCCGTCAAAGTATTTTTTGTAGAGAAAGGCCGGCTACCCGCACCCGCACCGGCGCTCTAGCCGGCCCAGTTACCGATTTAACAGTCTTTTTTTATAGGTCAGTTTTATTTTTAGCTACAAGATGGGCAAACCCTATTCCGCGCCTTCAGCGTTCATTGTAGTCTTTTCCGCAAATGGGCGCACACCCCCTTGGTGCTGGGCCAGCCCGTTTACCCTTTCTTTTTTGGTATGTTATAAATGGCAAAAAAACTGCCCGCGCGTGTGACTCGAACTAGCAACCTCCATGTTAAGAGTTCGCGATGGTAGCCAACCAGAAAAGTAACCTAATGTGATGCGAAGCAACATGTGGCTATATGGTTAGGAGAACGGTGGTATCCCCGGTCCACTAAGGTTTAAGTCCTGGTGCTCGTATTATCCTAGATTTTTTCAGGATTTTTTGCGATGCGTGTTGAGTGGGAGGAGACGTTTTCGTCAACTATGAAGCGTCTCGTCAATCTTAAGATGATATCTCGGCTCAGGCCATCGAAGATGCTCATATAGTTAGAGTGTGCATGTGTGTTCATAGAGGTTAGTGTACGCGCATATAAGCGTCTTCGTCTTTACTGTCCAGGATCGCGTCATCACATACAATTTTTTGAATACAACTATGTGCTATGAAGCACATATGGTTCATTTGACTAAAACGTGTGCGACTGTTCAATTCATTGAATACGCTTCTTTCAGTAGAAGTGTGTGCAAGGAATCTTGTACACTTTCCTTCCCCAATTCTGCTTGGTGTATTGACCAACACACATGTTTTATTTTTTCGGGGCACAGTTTGTTTTTTATACCATGTGTGATGTTGTCATCACACACAGCTTGGCGTTTGAATGTGCGATAGGAGGGCTTAATAAGACTCACCTGCACTGGTGAGCTATAATTTTTCTTGAGTTGTTGAGCTACCCATTAAGGAGCATGAGTGACAAATGTGTTTATGCATCCTTGAGTTTAGTATTCATATTTTTTATATTGTATTTTTATTAGGTATAAATAGTCAAGACCCGCATACATGATTATTGGTACACCAATACATTTATTGGTAGAGCGACTGTAACACTTAGGCTAGCCATAGTGGGGATAACTTAGGTAGTAACTTAACAAATTCCAAGACAATTTTACTTTATGTGGCAAGTATTTAATGAGGAAAGAGGTAGTTGTGGTAACATAAGAGTAAGTACAATAAGGTGATGTAGGCGGGCTGTAAGGCTTTAAATAATATATTTTTGTTTAGTTGGATGAGAGAGAAAAGATGAAAGAAAAGAAGCAGGCTACAAACTTACAGCCGGCTATAGCACAAGCTCCAACACCTTTTGTGAGAGAAACATGTGGGTCATATATTAATGATGTAGTATACTAGTATGACTAACTATTGTATGAGTGGGCTATAAGATTCGCTATAAGTGATATTGTAAATTCATATAGCCGGCTGCTGGCTATACTATTAACCATATTATAATATGTTATTGTAACATAACACTTCCCGAGGAAAAATGAGTCTATGAGCTAATAAATGAAGCAATCTATGACATTACTACTATGTTACTTTACACTATGAAGGTGATAACTTAGACAAGTGTCATATGCATGACACTAGTATATGCATGACACTAGTAGGCATGCATATGACACTAGTCTAAGTTACTACCCCCATAGTGCAAAGTAACATAGTACTCCCTCCGGTCCTTTTTACTCCGCATATTAGATTTGTCTGAAGTCAAAGTTTGCTAAGTTTGACCAAATTTATATTAGAAAATATTAAGATCTATAACATCTAATAAATATAATATGAAAATATATTCTAAGAAGGATCTAATAATAAATGTGTTGTTATGTGAATGTTAATAATTTTTTGTATAAACTTGATCAAAGTTGGATGAGATTGACTTCAGACAAACCTAATATGCAGAGTAAAAAGGATCGGAGGGAGTACTAGTGTCATAGATGGTTTCATTTATTAGCTCATAGACTCATTATGCCTCGGGAAGCACTATGTTACAGTAAACACGTGCCACATAAGCAAAATTGTCTTGGGACGTGTTAAGTTACTACATAAGTTACCCCCACTATGGCTAGCCGGCTAGCCATAGTGTGACTAACATAGGGAGTAACATAGATGACACATAAGCAAAAAAGATGATATGGCAGTTAATTAATGAGGAGAGAGACAAATTGAGTAACATAGCTAGTTACTAACACTATGAGTCGGCTGGTTGTAATGGGGAGTATCATATACTAGTATCATGCATATGATACTAGTATATGACACTGCCTCCGTAATGCATAGTATCATAAGTTACTATCTTATATTGCCTTATTAATTGTCACACATGACACAAAGTAGTACAGTATTTAATATGATACGGTATCATGCATGATACCGCTTATGATACTCCCATTATGACCAGTCTTATAACATCACACATACCAAGACATGATGTGTTTACAACCTAATAAATAAAGTATTGCATGACATTACACATATATTATTCCTCACTATAGAGGTAGTAACATAGAGACGAGTAACATATGCATGTTACTAGTCTAAGTTACTCCCCGCTATGGTGTTTCAGGCGGAGTTTTTTTGGTGATCTGCTGGAGATAGTCTAAGATTGGTACTGTATTAATATTGAGCAGTCTCACATACATTTTCCAACCAGGTAACAGTTATAAATTTGGGAATGAGATTATCATGTTTTTGTTTTCTAATATTTTCTAGTGTGACTGGCATACTTGCATTGAAGGCTGCCTTGGTTTGTCGCTGAGTTGGCATTATTGCTGCTTGTTGAGAGAATACACCTAGATTCATGTTTTGGCTGGTTGGATGACCATGGCTACACATGATGTTGAACTAGTAAAGCAAACATTTGATACTCCTGCTCTCCCTAAGGCTGGCCATAATGGGGGTAACATAACTAGTATCATATACTTGAGACTCGCAAACATGCTTACGTGACAGGAAATTAAAGAAGAGAGAGAGGATCATAGTAACATAGGTAAATATCATAACATAATAAATGCTATACTAGTATGTGTCATGCATGGCAATAAATGAGACCACCTATAATACTACTTTATGATACTATGCACTATGGATATAGTATCATACACTAGTATTATATGCATGATACTAGTATATGTTACTCCCCACTATAACCAGCCTAAGCAGGATCTCAAATTAATGAGCAATCGCGTGCCCCCTTATGTGATTAATAATGACGATTGGATCACTTATATACTACCCATTGTTTCCAGTAGTATGATGTAGTACCGTAAAAAGTCTCTACTTTTACATAGCTCGACGTGGACGGAACACAAGGAAGGAGATGCTGAAGAACAGAAGAAGAACACTCATCAAATAAAGCTCACGAACGGTTGATGAGGCCCTGCCACATGGTGGGGGTGAGAAATTGTCCATGTGTCTGCAGAGCTTCTGCGTGCAAAGCAACTTTAGCCTCTCGAGGTTATACTTGTTCGCCGCTACAAGCAGACGT